CTATTAACCTATTCTGCCTGCTTTTATGTCCTTTCTTAGTCTTGCCTCCTGGCAGAGAAAGGAGGTGGAATCCTACCACGGTCCTGTATAAGTGCCGGTATCCATTGGCAAAGCTTGAGAAAGTTACTTTTTGGACTAAAGTTCCCAGCATGCCCAAGTCAGCTTGGTCAGCCACAAGATTGGTGAGTGGAATTATCGGAGTTGTAACTCAAAGAGTAAATCCAAGCTTTGCCTATTTGGGAATCCTGGATTTAATTTTGAGGGTCATCTTGACCTCACCAATGAGTTCCCAGGCATTGTATCATATTTCCAAGGCTGAAATTGGATTTCCTGCCACTTCTTTCTAACTCCCGCACCCCAAAGGAGACTATGAAAGCACTTCACCAGAGCCAGTTCTCTGGAAGGCAGACTTTTGCTTGACTTGCATGCACTCACGGAAGGGTCAAGTTCCTTTGGGTCCTCCTGGCTGAGTTTTGTTTCCCTAAAATAATGTTACATTCTAGTAAACACTTTTAAATTTAACTGCACTAAAACATAGCCATTGGTAGGCAATGAATCATGCTCTAAGCACCCTTCAAAGTATTTCATTACAGATTGACAGTGGCATGCAAAGATCTCTCCCTTCTGCAGTTGATGTGGCCTAAAGGGAAGGCAGTGATTTTCACTGTTGGTCAGACCACAAGACAGCTGGGTTTTGCTTAGTCTTTGGGATTTCCACATTGGGGGAGATTAAGAAAATGTCTTTGTCGATCACCTAGGTAAAATGTCTGCTTCACCTTCTGTTTTATTTGTTTATTTTTATTTATTTAAAACATTTATTTTCTGCCCTTCTCATCACAAAGGGGACTCAGGGTGGAGCACAACATGTATATGGTAAACATTCAATGCAGGCATATAAATGAACTATAAACTTACATAAACACTAAGTTATTTCCACTTTAAAAGCACTGTTTAAAACCATCTCAAATCACCCATATTGAATCTGGTCAGCAGGGTAAAATTTCCTATTGTTGCCTTATTGCATTTCCCAAAAGTTTGGCCCCACAGCCAAGCTTTTACCATCTTTCTGAGGGACAGGAGGGAGGGGGCTGATCAAATCTTGCCAGTGAGGGTGAGCAATCCTATAGACCAAATTGTCAGAGATTTGAAATACAGGCAGGCTGAGTTTCCATAAACCAATTGTGCCCACAGAAGTAGACATTGTGAAGATTTAGCAACATACACTGTGTTGAAGTTTTAGGTCATGGCTTCTGTTTGAGGTACAAGCTGACCCAATGGAAAATAATGCTTGTAGTATTTCCAACCTTGTTTAAAAAACAAATATTCCCCCAAATGTGAAAAAAAACAACTTCCATTCTTGTAAACTGACTAATGGGGCAAAATCCTTTAAATGGGAGAATGAAATAAATGAAGATGGGTGTCCCTATACAGTGCACCTTCAATCCAAAGTTGCCCCTTCCTCAGCTCCATTCTGAAGAAGAACATTGATTTTAGAACACCAATCTTGGATCTCACTTTCTTTTTATAAGTCAGTGTTATGAGTTGATATGCACCCTTTGGCTCCTCCTCAGTCACCCATCTGAAACTGCAGTTTCTCAAGTCGCTTCTGATATGATAAACCCCATCTGGAGATAGATAGATAGATAGATAGATGGATGGATGGATGGATGGATGGATGGATGGATAGTTTCTTTCATAACAGACAACTAGACCACCAATATGTTCATTATATTTTATGCTTACAAACATGTACAACAGGAGATCTACCACAATGAGCAGTTTCTCTTACCAAAGCATTTTAAACAGAAGCATATCAATGGACAGCTATTATTAGCTTTTGGATAAGCAGAGTCTTTCCACACAGTCATATAACCCAGAATATCAAATCCCACAATATCTGCTTTGAACTGGGTTTTCAGCGTCCACACTGCCATATATTCAAAGCAGAAAATGTGGGATTTTATTCAGCTGTGTGAAAGGGGCCCCAGTGGAGGCAAATGGACACATAACTAGTGAAATGTGTGCTTCCTACTTTTTTCAATACCTTCTGAAAGCTACTGCAAACAAAAAATAAAAAGTAATACCTGAAAACATATATTCCATAACAGTTGTGTTTCAAAAACAATGTTGCCAAGCTTTCGTGGGCGTATTAGGGAATTTTCTTCTTTCTATCTGAGGTATGTTCTGCTGGTGGGAAGAGTAATAAAAATTGCTAGGATACCAATAGGTGTATGTATTACAACACAGTATTCTCGCTTCCCAATATAATAAAAACAAAACAAACCTCGGTCTAAGCTGGATAATGGTACACAATGGAGAAGTTTCAACTTGTGAACCTTTTGAATGGGAGACTTCTTACGTGCTGTCAGGTGGTTTCCAATTTGTGGCAACCCCAAAGTGAACTTATCACAGGGTTTTCTGGGGATGAGAGTGCGTGACTCTCCTAGGGTCACCCAGTGGACTTATATGGTTGAGTGAGGAGTCACATCCTGGTCTTCAGAGTGATAGCCAAATGCTTTTTACACCCAAAAACATCTTTAAAAATGTGCTGCCTCTTACTCATGCTCATCCATCACTCTAAAGTTTCTCATTGAGAACAATGCAAGTTGCCTCTTAAATAAATGTGTGTAGGAATAGAATGTTAAGGCAGTCTTTTCTGGATTTAAAGAATGCCTCTCCCTCCTTTCCACTCTTCTTGTATATACAGCAGGCTATGAAACCTTCAGTTTCCTCAGCCCCAATCCCCTCCTCTGGCTCTCCTTCAGACTCCATGTGTGAGTCTTAACTACGCTGCACTTCATTTTTCATTCAGACAGGTTAAACTAAAAAGCCTTCTAGTACCCAGTCTGGTATTCATTAAGCAGATTCTTAATTTCCTCAAGCATTTTCCATTCGTCTAGGTCTGGGGGGTGGGGAGTGGGTGAGGTTTAAGGAAAAGGGAATAAGGGCCTATCTTTCCATCTAGAGGTGACCCCCAGTTTGAAGACAACACTATGTAAGTACTGGGGTTCAGCTTACACTCCTGTGGCCTGCGGGCCACATCCCATGGGAATTGGTACAAACTCTGGCGCCGGGTGGAAAGCTTTGCAGGCAGAGAACAAAGAGGGCCAGGCTTCCTCTTTAGTCAAATTTATACTAAAACATAATGCAGGATGTTGCTAAATTGCCATATACCTTCATACATCCACATGATATTTTGTACATTCTATGGAAGTTTATCACCAGATGTTCAACCTGTAGCTCTTACGCACGCGCACACACACAAATGTGAATGTGTGTATATGTGCGCCTAAGATTATTTTACTGCATACAAAAATGTCAAGAACGAATGAGATGAATATGTTCCCTTTATATTTGCAAATGTGATGCATATTCATCTCATTTGCTCATGACATTTTTGCATGCAGTAAAATAATCTTAGGTGCACCTATACACATATTCACATTTGTGCGTGTGTGTGTGTGTGTAAGAGAAAGAGTGGAAAAAATCCTCTAAAGATGCTAAAGGGGAAAAGTTTATTCGTTTATTTACTGTATTTCTACCCTGCTTTATCACACCCCGGAGGGGACTCAGAACTCCTTCCAGTTTTGGCAATTATTCAATGCCACACTGAAACATAAAAGCATACAAATATACAACACATTAAACTATAAAATCAAAATAAAGCATATAAAAAGGAAAAGGGGCCTACCAAGGATGAGATTTATTATTTATTTATTTACGACATTTCTATCCTACCTTTCTCGAATCTGAAGGTGACTCGAGGCGGCTTACAACCAGGCAGCCATTTGATGCCTTAACAATATACACTTAAAACCACATTTAAAACAGAATTTAAAAAGTACATACAATAAGACCTTTTAAAAACACAACCCAATATATAAAACCAATACTTTCAGTGTTAGATGGATGGATGATATCCTCGAAGTGGCTGTCTTGACCTTGAAGGAGCTAAAGGTGGTGACAGCCGACAAGGAGCTCTGGCTTGGGCTGGTCCATGAGGTCACGAAGAATCAGAAGCCACTGAATGAATAAACAATAACAAAGCATATAAATACAATTAAAAACTGTTAAAAACATTGCACCTAATCCTGCTAACATAGTCCAAACTGCTTCATTTCTATTGATTCTGTGGATATATATTGCACTGTGGTTGTGCTGCTCCCCAAATACCTAGTTCCACAGCCAGGTTTTGACTTTCTTTCTGAAAACCATAAGGGTGGAAGCCAATCTAATACCACTAGGGGGGAGTTCCAGAACTGGGGGGCCACCACTGAGAAGGCCCTGTCCCTCGTCCCCACCAATTGTGCCTGCGAAGGCAGTGGGACCGAGAGCAGGACCTCCCTAGAAGATTTTAACATCCGGGCTGGTTCATAGGGGGAGATATGTTTGGACAGGTATGCTGGGCCAGAAAGTTCAATTGTATAAATGTGCCTAAGATGAGGGTGGGAATCTTTCAGGCCTGCAGGATCATTATCATAATCATGAACAGAGCCGGTTTTCTGCCCTGCACTAACGTCGACTCCTTGCTATATAGATCTTGATCTACTCTCTATCTGCCTTGGACCAACAATCTCCAAACAATAGCCATGTCCCACCTTAGGAGTTGTTGCGGTTTGTTAGTTTATATTGAAAATACACAGCAGTCTTCCCAGCTCCAGGCCCCAAGTTCAAGTACACAGAGTATAAAAGAAAAATGTCTTTACTCTTGAGTAGTCAGCACATGTATTTTATAAAGGAAAAATACAGTAGCCTTGAAAACACATTGTCCACATTGTCCATCGCAGAAGGAAATAAACTTACAAATCAAAGCATTAATCTGCTTCTTTCCAGCAAACCTTGTAGTGTAGTTCCATCTCTGATTACTTCATTTCACCCACTACCTGCATCAAGAAAACCTCACCTGATATACATCCTAATCAGGGAGTGGTTCTTCCTCAACACACACATATAAGCAAGAGATGATTCTTGTCAAGACTTACAAAATCATATACTGTAACAGGAGTTCCTGGCAGTACCACAGTTGTTTGGTTCCCCTGGAGATGTATCCTTGCAACCCTGTCATTGACAGGAAAGGAGAAATAAGCACATAGCACCACTCAATATACTCTCTAGGATAGCATGTTGTGGAAACAGATGTTGATTTCCTTCTGCTTTCCTAGAATTTATAATAAAATAGCGAGGGAGAGTAAGCTTCATACGATCACAATGAAACTAACTTGGCAGCATTCCATTCTAATCAAGAATTTTATTTCGGGCCCCAGACAGCCTTCACTAAAATGGAGACAGCTTTGTCTGTAGTTAATTTGAGATAGTTCTATCTCTAGCCATCTACTCTTGAAACCTTTGGAGGAAAATTAAGTTAGGGCGGATGTATGTATGTGAATTATTTTGTACAATCTGTCCCTATGATGGAGTCAGTATGGGAAAAGAAATCTAGTGAGTCTCCATTTCTACACTCAGGGATCTGTTCAAGGATGCTGCTACTACAGATTGAGGAATAGGAATGGCAGGCTCATTACAAAAATAGTATTGTGAATATAATAAAATATGCAAAAAACATTGCACTGGATTAATGTCAGGCTTTATTATCAGTGAATTCATTCCATGCCTTCTCTGTAATACCTGCAGACATGTTTGCTTTAATTATGAAAATCTTTAGTGGTAATTACTATGAATAATAAAAAAAAACAAGTGATTGTGGAAATGAATGACCAGGGGACTGAAAAAAAATATCTAAACAGGATAAAGGGATTGTAGAAAAGAGTCATTAGTAGCTGTCTTCACTGTAGAAAAAGAAGGGAAGATACCCATGCCCAAACTGCCGTTTTCAGGACGGCATGACAGGCTGCATCTTTACGAACGGAGACAAATTATGATGATAAGTGAAAAAGTTGCATTCTTTATTGACAAACTGAAAATAAATCACCGTGTGCATATGTTGTTCATCTGAGAGGTTTTTGAGAACCCAGGCGTGTAATTGCTGGTTGTCTTAACAAAAATAAGTAATATGTTCCTAAGACTGACCTCTGTTCAAAAAGGCTGGAGAATACAGTGTAAAAACAGACCAGGAAAACTGCACGCTGATCAATTTGATAATTTTCCCAGGTATATTAGATAATACAGATAGCATTATTTAAAACTATACAATTTTCAGGCATATAAAACAGGGGTGGGTTACATGTAACCTGTGGGCTGCCTGTAGTCCTTAAACCTCTAAATGAGGCTGCTTTATTTCTCCCCAGAAGCCAAGATGATTAAACTGAGACTGTCATACTTCAATACAATAACTCTGGGTAAGGTGGAAAGCTGTAGAAAAAGAAGTCTAAAGTTTAGGATGGAGGCGGAGTAAATGATCTTGGAGGGCTACATCCAGCCACAGGTCTTAGTTTGAGTACCCCCTGGGGTAGATAGATGACAAGCATCTATTGTTTGCCATGTTGTGACCAGATACATAGAAGTGAATGTGCAAGTCACTTTGAGGACTGTCCATTGCTTCCTCACTGGTGCAGATGAATAGTAAGAAGATCAGATGGGTAAATGGACAATGGCAGTAACTGGGGGTCATCAGCACACTGATTCGGCCCTCATTTACTTGGCCTCTGCCCTAAACTTTAGACTTTAGGGTTGCCCTAAGTTTGAAACAACTTGAAAGCACACAGCAGCAACAACCCTAATTAACTTGATTATCTCATCAGCCAAAAACATACCCACACTTCCCATTGGAATACTGGTAAGTTTATGTTGGTTAAAATTATTCTTCATTTTAATAACAACAACAACTGTCATACTTCAACTGTCATACAACAACAACAACAACAACAACAACAACAACAACAACAAAATTGAGTATCTCTAGTAGTGTGAGTGTGGAAAAAATGAGATATTCCCTATTGTAAATTCTGGATGGGAGATGGCGTGGTTATCAGTAGGCATCAGCTTTGTATTATAATGTCATAATGTCACTTTAGCTGGAGTAAAATTGGGGCAGGACAATGCACAATTGAGCTGGTTTATATTGCCAATGTGGATCCAGCCTCAAATGATTATTCTTACCCTACCAGTTTAAACCTGTGTCTGTTTTAGAAGTAAGCTATAAAAATAGTAAGCTGAACCCTGGTCCTTGCAAAGGAAACAGCTCACTTTCCACACAAGGTCAGGTTTCATGGCACACCCCTGTTCCCCCAGATGTTGAGTCATAAAGTGTCTAATCTGGAAACAAAATCCACAGCTGGTTTAACTCAGCTCTCCAGTCTCCAGTTGTGGGATATTTGCCTTATCCTTTTAAAAGCCATTGATAAAGCAAGTGGTCTACAATTTCCAGACAAGCAAGCATGTTAGTCTGCTGCAGAAACAACAACAACAGAGAACCTGGCAGTACAGTACACTCTTTCATGGACTAAGCTTTTAGACCACTGGTTCTCAACCTTCCTAATGCTGCAACCCTTTAATACAGTTCCTCATATTGTGGTGACCTCCAACCATAAAATTATTTTCATTGTTATTTCATAACTGTAATTTGCTACTGTTATGAATTGTAATGTAAATATCTCATATACAGGATGTATTTTCATTCACTGGACCAAATTTGGCACAAATACCCGATACACCCAAGTTTGAATACTAATGGGGTTGGGGAGATTGATTTTGTCATTTGGGAGTTGTAGTTGCTAGGATTTGTAGTTAATCTACAATCAAAGAGCATTCTGAACTCCACCAATGATGGAATTGAACTGAACTTGGCACACAGAACTCCCATGACCAACAGAAGATACCGAAAGGGTTTGGTGGGCACTGACCTTGAGTTTTGGAATTGTAGTTCACCTACATCCAGAGAGCACTATGGACTCTAACAATGATGAATATGGACCAAACTTGGCACAAATCCTCAGTATGCCCAAATTTGAATACTGGTGGAGTTTGGAGAAAATAGACCTTGACATTTGGGAGTTGTAGGGATTTATGGTTCACCTACAATCAAAGAGCATTCTGAACCTCACCAGCAATAGAATTGGGCTAAAGTTCCCACACAGAACCCCCATGACCATGTTTTCTGATGGTCTTTGGCGACCCCTCTGATACCCCCCTTGTGACCCCCCCCCCCCAGGGGTCCTGACCTCCAGGTTGAGAAATGCTGGTTTAGAAGATTTCTTTCTTTGGTGAAATAGCACAATGTAAAGGGTTGTTTTTTTTAAAAAAAAAAATCTTTTGGAAAGCATTCCTTGTTCTATATATTGCTTGGCTGTTTGGTAACAATCAATGTTACTTAACTCAGGGAGCAAAACAAGAGGAGACTAAGAGTAAATGTTCCTTCTTCTCCCACCTGCTGTTGGCCTGCTTTTCATTGAAAAGGGAAGTCCCTGTATATTGTCCTTTCCCTCTAGACTACTGCTGTTTTGGATGAGGCAGATAATAATAATAATAATAATCATCATCATCATCATCATCTTTATTTATGCCCTGCCACCATCTCCCCGATGGGGACTCGGAGCGGCTTACATGAGGCCAAGTCCAAACAACAAATTATGGGTGTAAGCAGATATTAAAGATCCTGTTTGATTCATCCTGCTAGAACCTCTCTCTCCAGTTGGAGGGGGTTGGGAGGGGAAAATAGGAAGGTTACAAAAACATTTTCTAAGCCTGGAAAGGAAATGGTTTCAAACACTGCCTTTTTGGGGCCGAGGGGAAGTAAAGCACCGATTTGTGTTCTCTCTGGCTGATCTCTCACTCACTCCCTTGCCTGCAACAGAAGAGCCTTGTAGTGTGCATGAGATGGAACTGGATGGAAGGAGACATGTGGTCCCAGCTGAGTCAAAGAGATGGCTATTTTCTCACTGTGGATGCCACAGGGAAGGGGCGCAAGGAAAAATAAACATTGGACTGAGAGCAGCTTTTCATCCTCTGCAGGAGCTGTGCATAGGAGCCAGGGACTGTATTTTCTTTGGAAAGTATGCTATATAAACATGGTTGCTGAAGTGGTAGGAGAGCAGTTTGTCGAAATTTCTGCCAAGCAGGGGAGTCCAAGCAGGACACCTTAATTAATCCAGAATAATAGGATGTGACTCTGCATACACACCAAGAACAGGGTTGCTGAGAGGATTTAAAAGCTGCTGAGTAAACAGGACTCACACCCTACCCCCAAACTTTGAAATTTACCAGTGTTATTCTCGGCATCTGTCCCAGTTCCAGTCTTCTCTTTTCAAACAACCTCTGGTCAAAGCTCTCAACTGGGGCAATGTCTGGAATCTGTCTGCAAAGCTTACTGGAGCTTTGGTTTCTTGGTCACACATTGGAGATCCTAATTGGTCTGTGTGTATTCCACAGGCCTCCATAGCTAGCACATTCTCAGGCCTGAAAACAAGCTGGTTTGGTCTTCCTCTCGGCTCCTCTTATGGGTCCAGAACATGATTTGCCAGAGCCAATGGCTATCATTGTCAGATTGAACCTAGGGCAGTTCTAATGCTTAAATCAGGCATCCTCAAACTGTGGCCCTCCAGCTGTTTGGGCCTTCAACTCCCAAAAATCCTAACAATTGAACAAGCTTGTTAGTGCTTCTGGGAGTTGGAGGCCCAAACAGCTGGAGGGCCACAGTTTGAGAATGCCTGGCTTAAACAATTAAGGATGGTATTCTGTGCTTATTGAACTAGGAGCAACTCTTGTGAATGAAATGAGGGTTACTTGAAATGTATGATTGTACTGTAATATAACTGAAATAAATCTGAGAATGTATAATTACTGTGCTTTGCAGAATGTTTAGTTGGGCAATGAAATGGCATACACAGCAGAAGAGCACTTGGCATTCCCTGTATTTTTATATAAGACAAGTAGATTACTTTTCTACTTTAAATCTGCCATGGTATACCATTGCTTCATCTGAACATGAGGAAGAACTTCCTGACTGTGAGAGCCGTTCAGCAGTGGAACTCTCTGCCCCGGAGTGTGGTGGAGGCTCCTTCTCTGGAAGCTTTTAAACAGAGGCTGGATGGCCATCTGTCAGGGGTGATTTGAATGCAATATTCCTGCTTCTTGGCAGGGGGTTAGACTGGATGACCCATGAG